ATATACAAGATATTTGATATTAGATGAAACACCGTTCATGGATAAGTAGAGTGGACTAAACTGAATTGAAAAGTCTTCTACTATTTTGCAAGAGTTTTGCAATTGTTACCGAGATATTAATTATTAAAGATCACCAATTAGCACGACCTATTGCCAAACGCAAACGTAATATGACGAGAAGTGCCCACTGTCGTAGCTATCTATTCAAAGGTCATCTGAAGGACAATATAACATATATGATTGAATTTGTTTTTTTAAGAACTACATACTATTACTATATTAATGAAAAAATATATTGTTATACATATAAAAAAATCGCAATGACCTTGAAATTCCAAAAACTATGACCTTGAGAAAAATTTTTTGCTCATAATATACGTTCCTTCCAATTGAACAACTTTTTCCTGTAATATTTTCCCGTATCATCAAAAACAACGGAGATATTTTAAATGATCAAGTTAAAAGAAACATCCTGTATAGGCATGGGAAGTTGTTTACTACAAATGACCTTGGTACGCTCGAGCGGCGAAAGAACGAAAACATCTCCCTGCGCTTAGCGATCATATCGCGTCTACATTTGGTGGTCAGCCGAGCGAATATGCATTTATTCAACGATTTTCAAAAATTAATATCTCGATAACTATTGCTAAATGGTAGAGGACTTTTCGATTCAGTTTAGTACAGTTCGCTCTACCTACCCATGAACGACGTTACATCTAACATCAAACACCTTGTGTATATATATAGAATAGATCTCACACTTTGAATGTATATATATTAAATTTTATATATATTAAATTTTTAGCCAAGGTATTTTTGCATTATATGAGATGTTTTGGGAAAGGTTTACAAATTTCTAAAGCCTAAAATTGTAAGTCTTAAAAGCTCGTAACCCTTTCCTTGTAAAACATCCTGTATCTATAAACTCTTTGGTTTTGCCAAGATATTACTCTGTATTTGGTATGATAGAAGTGAATAATATATTTTGCAAAAGAGCGAGAAAAATCTATTAGTCTAAGTATTTCCTATTTCGAAAGACAATGCAGAGAATGTTGATCATGGAATCCCTGTTTCAACATTTGAGTTGACCAATTAATGATTGATTTAGATTTACAGTGCCATTTTTTAACGTTAAGTTCTATATGAGGTGAATGCATAACGTTGGATTCATAAAAACTGGGGATGTAATTATCTAGACAAAAGTCTGAGAAGAAGCCGGGTGTCGTGTAGTAGTCAGTATGATGTGAACGCGTGGCTAAAAGAGATGTCATATCATATATTCCGAATCCGATAACAATAATATAGTGGATTACCTCAACGGTAACACGCTATAGACAATAACAATTAGTTACTTGTGGCAACTCTGATGCAGTATGCGTGTGTCGTGTGTGATAAAGCCCCGTAAGGTGTGTATCACAGAACAATCGTAGTAGTTATATATTGTACAACATACATAATATTCATATGTGTGTATATATATATGTATATATATATACACCATATTATCTTAAAAAATAGATAAATGTTGACGAGCCATGATGGATGTATAAACGTAAATGATGTGACAATGCAAGCGCTATAGTGACAACGCAGCGCGATAGATGACAATGGCCGGTAAATTGACGATGGACGAAATGTGTGTGTGTGTGTGTGTGTGTGTGTGTGTGTGTGTGTGTGTATGTGTGTGTGCGTTTGTGTCAAAAGAAGAAAGAAGAAAACCGTCGTGGCCGGGCGTGTTCTCCTTTCTCAAGATATGAAGAGGTGAACAACGGAGCTCAATAATGGCGATGAACAAGAGGAGTGCTATACTTGAAATCAATGGATCATACTGGCGATGGCATTCTGACGCGCTCGTTTTGCCTCCTCTTCACTGATCCTCTGCTCGATCAAGTACTGAGCAGTGTTGATTGCATTGGGATAACCCGTGATAGTCACTATGCGGTTCCTGGTACCAGGGGCGAACATGCCCTTCTTAGAGATTTGTATGTTGGCGCCACTTAAGTGCTGAATCTCAATGAGGGCACGACCACCGGGTCCCAGAATAGCTCCCACTATAACCTCTGCAATTTCTATGTCTACTTTCTTGGTCTCCTTGTTGTTGGCGTCTACCTGTGTAGGACTCTTACTTACAAGTGATAACTGGTTAGTGCCCAGGCCGAATGAATTGTTGTTCAGGTGTATCGCACTGGCGGCGGTGTTGTTCTGTCGGAATGGATCAAATGGCTCGTACCGATCGAGGGTGTTGCGCGGAGTCGGCGAGGTAGATCCGAGCGCAGGAACGGTCCCGATCGGTCCGAATACACCGCCGTTGTTGTTCGAGCCGTTAGCAGTTGTCGTACTGTCCATCGGATTACCCAAATAGCTCATACTCGACGGCATCCCAATCCCCATCCCGAGAATATTGTATTTAGCGAGGGTCGCAATCGCAGCAAGTATCTCCGTTGCAGCAGGCTCGGAGAAACCTGTCGTACGTAGATTCAATTTTATGTGTTCCAACAGCTGCGTTGTCACCGGCGCCGTGCCAGCGGTGATAGCCGCGCCCAGATTTAGATTAAGACTCAAACCAGCGCCATTTAAGAGACTCACTATAAAAAAAATAAGCATCGTATTTATTACATCGTATTTATTAATTATAAATAGCAAAACAATGAGAATTTCGTTAAAAATCATAAAAAGATCTGATAAATGTTCAAGCTTGACGAATTAATTGACTGAAGTGAACAGATTAGGATTTCTTTTTCATATTCACACCACACACACGCGCGCGCGCGCGTGCGCGCACACATCGATAAATAAAATCTTAAATCACTTCATAAAAATGTATAAAAAATAGTTTATTCATTTAATTAGAGAACACTGCAAATTTTACAGTTTCTCTCGTTCCGACAATTATTTAATTCCTTCAGGAATAAATTTGTAAAATTAGGAAAAAGTAATTTGAATTAAATTTTTCGTTTAATTACATTTCATTTAAATCTATAACAATAAAGAAAAAACGAACAAAAAATTAAAAATATTATGATTATTACTCATTTTTCCTTTGTATACGTATTAGAATTAAAGAAAGAGAAACTAAACACATGTGCTAAGTTTTCTTTGGAAATTATAGAATGAGAAATCTTAAAAATTTTTTAATATTTCAAAATTCATATATTTATGTGGCAATAAAGTTCGATAAACTTCTTTCTTATAACATTCATCAAATTTTATTGCAATGTATAATGTCGGAAATTCAAACTGCAACATCAAAAAGTAGACTTTTGATTAGAACAAAACTCTATATAATTATGGGTATCATTTATGGAAATTATATAAACAAATTATTAAAGTTTCAGAAATCCACGTTTAGTAATCCTTGACCCACGAGAACTGCGGTATGTGGAATCTGCAGTTTTGAAGATGATATCTACAGCTTCACTTTCTCTGCTTTATGAATAAATGGAACAAGTTTAAAAAGCATACTACATGATATTGGACACTCGTTGAACACAATGTTCATACTGTTGGATGTTTTTCATTATCTGGTTAACTTATAGTTAAGCTTAACCTGATATTTTATCCAATGGGCTTTATCCATGACATCATTGTAGATGAAGCTTATTGGATAAAATATACAAGTTAACCAGATAAAAAACCGGACTATAATAGTCTAATAACTGTCTCAACTGACAGAAAAGATTTCTGATTGATATCACATAAAGCTGAATTACGAGCTACGCCGTAAAGTTACATAGTCCGGAAATATAGATTTGAGAGTAGATATTATTTCTTAGTTATTGTGCTTAATTGTTTATTCACGTTGTCCTCTCCAACATATCTATAAATTTTGATCCTAAAATGATATTTCCTTCTAAATGTTGCAATTTCAATTTCCAGCAATGTACAAAAAATTCTGAAAAAGATCTAGGCTTTTTCTAAAAAGTATTTTAAAAAAATTGAAGAAATTTTCTAAAAACTTATAAAATTATATCAAAATTTTAAAAAATTTAGAAAAATTATGTGCAAATTTAAAAAAAAAATTTTCATCAAAAAGTGACGTCACTGAAAAAAATTAAATAGTCAAAATTAAGGAAAAGCGTGCTATAAGCCTTCTTACATCTATGAATATTATTAGACAATAATCTTATAATCGAAAACGCTATAACAACAGTCCTATAACAACAATCAAATGTATTCATCACATAGGAAATACTTTATTGCATTATTAAAAGACTCTTTAACTAAATACCTAAGTACTAACCTGTATTTAGACCAGCTGTAGATGTATACGTGGGAGTGCTTGTGGGAGCTTGAGCATACGGGCTGCCTGTAGGATTGTAATTGGCAACAGGACCACTTACGTCCGCGTAACTGACGTTAAGGCAGGTACCGCTTTGCGGATCATCCGCCACTTTCGCTAAGATCATGTGTAACGCCCTATGATTATTTTCTTTCTCACCAATCACCGTTATACATCGCTCCTGAAGGGACAAGTCCTTAGCCTTCTGACTGATTTGAACGTACGAGCCAGATTCTTCTTTAATTTGTTTAATGTAATTCCCAGCTTTTCCTATTATCATCCCTGCAGTGCTATTAGGCACTAAAATTTTAACCTGAAATAGCAGTTCAGATCAGACCTCTGTCATTCATGCATACAATGTTTGTTAAGTTTCGTATTTTTTAAGTAAATATTATTAGTGCCACTGTTTCCCACGAAAAAATTACTAATAATATATTAATATAGTATAAAAAATATTCAATATTGAATAGCAAATTCGCATTATTTTTAGAAGATATTTTAAATATACAATGCCTAAAAAAAAGTTATTTTAAAGTTTGTAACTATTTTTAATGTATTACTTTTATATAAGAAGGAATTATTAACAAATTCATATTTCTTTAAAAATATACATCCTATATACATAAAATGTTTTAATAGAAAATAGAAAAAAAATGTTACGATAAAAATATTTCAATCTTATACCTGCTTGTCTCTCTCCGCAGTAGCTTTACCAGAGTCGAAGTCAACCGTAGTTTTCGAAGTAAGATCAGGCTTCTCGCGTATTTTGTCCATGATGAACTCCATGACCTCCATAATAGCATCTACGGTGCCTGTGATAAGGCATACTCTCTCAGTAGTTCCTGTAGACAAATGAAACGGTAATTAATCGAATAAAGGCAGCTGCGAGAACACGCGTGCACTGAGAAAGCTAAATGTATACCTGGATAAAAATCGTGCGATTTAGACATCTTCACTCTTGCCCCTGTATCCTTTTGAAGTTGAGCAATTGTATCTCCACCTTTTCCAATAATGGCCCCGGCTGCCACACCGGGAACCAACACTTTGAGATGATACGTTCCATCTCCACCTGTAAAATCAAACCATTCTTTTAATCATGTCTTATACAGGGTATCTGACATTAGATGAAACCACTTCTATAACTAGACTGCTGATTCAATGTGATAGACAGAGAGATAAACCTAATTCTGTTCTAGTTTCAGTTCATATATGTGTATGTATGCGTCTTGAACATCGCGTGAATTTATATGAAAACATCAAATCAATTGTCTATTTATACTTGGACTGTGGATGGAACACCGCTTATAGACAGATAAAGCAAACTAAACTGACAATGAGTTAAAAAATCTTATATATCATTTTGCAATTTTCGCTATAGTTAATGAGATATTAGTTTCTAAGAACATCCAAACGAGCGCATATTCGTCCGAGCTACCGCCAAGCTCAAACATGCAACGAGACGAACGAGATATCATTGCTGCTTGTAATAAACAACTCGCGCATTTATTAGCTGCGTTCAGCAGAGAAAATTAATCAGTTAGCGCTTGATGAGTCTTCAAAATGATTGGTTCCTATACTTAGATCCAGCAAAAAACTAAAGGCAAGTACAAATCATATTAAAAAATCATTAAGCGCACTGATTAGTTTCCTCTGCTGAACGTAGTCATTGTTAGCAATTATGAACTTGGCGGCGTATATTACCACGCGCTTGCTTCGTGTACGTAAATTCTGGAATATCCTGTGTATTACGCAGCGAAACATGAATAAAAACATATATTTTTACGTAAAAATAAATTTTCAGTGCAAAAATGAAAATAGGTACAACGTCCGATGATCTTCACAAATGTTATACAGGTCACGATCCTAAACAAAATTTAAGAGATTTTAATAGTTCAGTCGGATACCTTAAGTAACGCTAATGTCGAGACTGTAACTTTCAAGTCTTTATAATTTGAAAAGTACTTAATAAAAAAATAATTTGTTATAATGTTCTCAAAAGCTCTCGAGATAAACTACGGGAACATATGTAATGAAAAATGGGAAGTTCCATTAAAAAAATTTAAAGTAACTTTGCTCTGACTTCGACAACGCCACCAAAAGTCAAATCAATAACATCTTATGTCCTCCTCGAAGTCAAAAAACTTTTGTCTGAAACATCTTTCGATTTAATACAGTGTTTCTGAGAGATTTGAGTGGATTCTTTAAAATGGGACATCATGCGTATATATATATACAAGTGTTCAAAAAAGGTCGGGATCCCGGATTTATTAAAAAAAAAATGATTCCTTTTTGAAAAAAATGTTTTTGACAAAAATTGTCAGGTATAAAAAGATCTATTTACAGATCTTATCAGTTTGACCTTAGGTGATGTCAAGGCATTGTCAAGGTCAGGTCAAGGTCAAATCGATTTTTTAAATGAAACACCCTATTTTTGATGCCAGAATCTAATAGCTGGTGTCAAGAGCTTTTCAAAACACTGAAAAAATATTTCATAATAGTGTTTTGGAAAGCTCTCGAGGTAAGCTACAAAAATATGTAATAAAAAATAGTTTTATTCAAAAAATTCTATGTGATCTTGTTCTAACCTTGACAATGCCACTCAAGTTCAAACCAATAATATCATCTCATATCCTCGAAATTACAAAACTTTTGTATAAAATGTTTTTCTCTAAAATGCTCTTTGTTTCTAAGATAAAAATTTGTAATGCTTTATTTTAAACACTTACATATAATATGACCCACTTAAAGTGATAGAAACTATTATCTCTAAAAGTATGTGTTAAATGAAAAATATGTTCAAACAAAAGTTTTGTGATTTCGAAGGGCACATAAGATAGAACTATTAACCTTGAGTGGCGTTGTCAAGATCAGAGCATTACAGAAAAAAAATCAATAAAAACAATACAGCAAAAATTGCTAACAAATTTTATTTTAATATTGTATTTTTTCATTTAACATTGTATATATTGTATACGCATTGTTTTATTCATTCACTTGTGTTTAGACCACAAATCTTTCTTAAATACACTACAATAAAATAAAGCAGGTAAAAAACTAAAAAAAATTCAAAAAAAGTTAAATACGTAAAAAGAAATAAAAAAACTTAAAAAGACAAAAAATGAAAAAAAATCCGTTCCGATAATCGTGTGTGAAGCTAGCGCCTCACTTGGTGGAAATTCATATTGAGAGTTCTGAGTTTATTTTCAATAGTTTTGCTGGCCGAAACTATTTATTTAACCTACATAGAATTGTAGAACTATTGAAAATAAACTCAAAACTCTCAATATTTTATGAGTTTCCACCAAGTGAGACGCTAGCTTCACACACACCTGATAATCTTCACCTTGGCGCGATGAAACGGCTTATAATGTATATGAGTGTACAAAGAGAGAGATCTTACAATCTTACTAAATATTTTTAATAATAAAATGTTCAAAATAACATTTTTTTCAAGTTATGTCCGGAAATTTTATGGACGGTATTTATAATCAATTTTTATATTTAAGACTGTCTTAAGTACAGTTTTAAGATGACACAAACCGATCAGAGCGCCGTATTAGCAGCTTGAGATTACTTAAGACGATCTCGAAATAAGAACAGACTATAAATATCGGCTTACGTTATAGATATACCAAAATTTTGTTAGAAATCTTCGGGATGCATTTAAGAAAAAGTTTTCTTAAAACATGAGTTACAGTGTCTTAAATCGATCAAAAACGATAAAGAAAACTTCGGGAAATCAAAGCCGAATGACGTGAATGATTTTAAATCAATGCGTAAAAAATAAGGAACAAAAAATATCTCGTTATACAAAAATAAACATACTTATTCAACAATTTTTTATTCATTCAAAATCATGATTCTATATTAAAAAAAGATTGAGATGATTGCAGTTAATCTTTCGTGATCAGTAAGTATATCAATTCCATGTAATTTAGAAAAAAATGTATCAAGGAAAATTATTTACAAAAAAAAGGTTAACGCGTACAATTAAGTATCTATTAAAATCGAATATGAATAAGACGTATCGTACAATTGCATCAGGGATTTTTATATAATCATGACTCCACTCGAAATCATTCACTTTCTTGGATGTTTTATTTGTTTAAGTTATTATAGTGCATCCAATTAATGTAAAACTATTGTCCAAAAAAGATACTTTTAGCTTTAAGTTGAAATTTGTAAGTATTCATGTCCATTATCGTTCCTACTTCTCACTTGCTGTTTTGTCATACTCGTTCAGAAGGTATGTCACCAGTCCGAAATTGTTAAGTTTTTGACTTGTATCATTCACTAAGTTTAAAAGTATTTCTATTGCTATTATTATAAAATACTATTATTCATCATATATTTAATTATAAAAATATAGGAATTTTATTTATATATAT